CTCCTGTGCTTCGCCTGCTGGTGGCCCGTCACGCAGCTGAACGGCAGCCACTTCCCCAGCAAGAGGAGACACAAGGAGCTCGACCTCGGAGACGTCAACAGACAAAAACACGGCGGGTGAGCTCAAGTGTGCTTCTCTTTCGCTTTATCTTCATTGATGGGCTGTCTGTTGGTGAGCTGTGGGTTTTTGTTTTTTTTTTTTTTTTGTATTGATGGATCAATGAATCACATTTTGTGTTTTGAGGCTTCGGGTTTCGGGTTTCATTCCCTAGGTTCAAAAACAGGGCATCATTTCAAAGTGACAGTGCACAAACGAAGATGATTCCGTTACTGGTTGGATGTGTAAAGTCAGAAAGCAGCTTCCTAAAGTAAACACAGATTTTAATTTTTTTTTAATGACCACAAACATAATCGGTCTGCTTTCACAGAGGACAACAAAAAAGCCATCTACTGAAAGGCTGAAATTCTGAGTATTGGCCCAGTTTTAAGGGAAGCGATTGGCTAATTTTTTGTTCTACCTCTTCATTTTTCTTTTAGGTTAGAGTAAATATAACTTGTTACTTTGTATACATGCTTTCTTATGACCCTCCAAAAAAAAAATTGTGGCCTAAACATGACCTCAATTACAAATGAATTCTGATTTTTTAAGATGAAATCTCTTGGAGTGATTCCGCCAAAATTGCTTCGCTAAAGTTGCCAGAAATACCTGAACCCATTTGTTTCCCTCCTGCATGCATTTGATTGATAAGTAGTCTGTCTGTAGTGTATTTGGATTCTGCTCACATTTTCTACATCTTAACATGAGTACAAAAAAAGAAAATCATCAAGTAAAATATCCATGTATGGTTGAACGCAGAAATCTCATAGCAAACACTATGGTCGTATGCGACCGTGAATTTGTCAAAGATCTTGACTCCTTCCCTTGTTGACCCTGGTGGATAAAGTTAAGTGAGACCTAGGGGTTGGTTGATGCTAGGTGAGAGTTCACATTTCGAGTCTAGTTTTGTCGCAATTATTTGCTTGATTTCCCAAAACAACACAAGCAAGATGAGCCAGTTGAAAACATGTTTGAAGAGCTTCCCAGCAAACGAGGAACTGCCATTATTTGGATCACGAGCTCTCTTTTTAATCACACAGCTCAACTCCAAGCAGTGGTCAACGAAGTCCCCACCAGATGTCAGTTCAATGAAAGATAAAGACGAAAAGAGATTTTCTGTCGGCCTCAGCCGCTGTTTGTCCTCTTTGCGTCTTAGACGAGTGGACCTCAAGATGAAAAAGCTCGACAGCACAAAGTCGTTGCTCATTAAATCGGAACAGCTGCTTCGAATAGAGGACCACGATTTTGCCATGCGGCCGGGCTTCGGAGGTAAGAAACACATATTCGCTGTGTCCGTCACGCTTTCTATACCTATACGCCCCCCGCATACCTCCCCAACCCGCCGAAGACCGATCTAGGTTACTGTGCTGTCCTTGCTATTACGCCTCCCCAAAAAGCCCTTGGTGACCTAGATAGTCTGCGTGAGACAATGGCTGCAGACAGTAGTACAAATCAAATCATCTCAACTGCGCACCTCATCGCGGAGCCTGACGTGTCGAGGCGATTGAAAAATATCAGCCGTAACAACAGCACACGCGTCGAATACGTTTGCTTCAAAATGGCCCCAAAATGGAACACGAGTAAGAAAATCCAAGTCAAGAAATGCAGTTTTGTATTTTCCTTGTCTTTAACGCTCAACTTTGGGTGGTCTCGGCTATATCGTTGGCACTTTCCATTGACGTTTACAACCCCGCATGCTAACAAAACATACAGCAGCCAACTACAACATTATTAGCGCAAATGAATGAGATCCAATACAAACCAGCCAACTACATTATTAGCGCAAATGAATGAGATCCAATACAAACAGCTGTATAGGAAATATTCTGCCAAGAAAAAAATTTAACACGTTACAAAAACATGAAAGTTACATTCATCAAAAAATATAAATTGCCCATATACATGTGAATGGACGTTTGTCTCCATATGCCCTGCGAGTGACTACCAAGCAGTCCAAAAGACTGCTAACTTGGGCATCATTTTACCCGACAAACAGTGATGGAAATATCATTGTGATTTGCAGTGGCCCTAGAACTGTACCGCCTCGTTGAGCTGAGCGTAGAGCTGCGCGTATTATTTTGGTTGCCAAATTAGTCACATGAGCTCGGCGACAAATATTAGGGTAGATCTTACAATGCCTATTGAGCGGATCCTTACAATATCAACCTGGACAAGATGTTTTTATATTTTGCAGTGGTCGGTTGCGGCTAGCCGATATACAATACGGTAGATGCTATTCTGTTGCCTCGCGAAAAATCCTATTCGAAGCCATCAGGTGAAATCAAAATGTAAATACACTAACCCCAACGTAATAAACTACTTTGCAGTTCTGTAAAATCTTGTCATTGGTTGCCGCATCTTCACACTATAAAGTTACAGTTGACCTTTTAGCCATTATATTGTGTCCTGTTTTATTGTCTGGAACCAGCAATATTTATTAGGAAAACCAGGCCTACGGTCCGCCAGGTATAATCCCTCCTTCCCTATGCTATTGTAATCGAGGAGTGATGCTTCTGAGTGCTTATTGTCATTAGGTAATGGTAGCGATAGGACAGAATTTGTATACCTCACCTCAGACATTTTCATCATGGCGCCACGAAACAATGAGGTAAGGAACGTACTGTTTCGAATCGTACCATATAGCTGCTTCCTTCCGCGTGTGACAGCTAACCTTGCCGTGTTGCAGCGCAGACTGTTAAGATGGAACGTGTGGTTGTGGTTCTGTGAAGTTCAAGTAATGAACATACAGTATATACTCGTTGGCCACTTCATTAGGTACCGGGTCGTAAGTGGCTCAATGTTATAAAGTGCCTTTAGTGTCCTCATAAAATAATGAAATTGCTCACAAACAGTATGCCGGTGTTTGCACGCCCTCTGGCTCTGGCAGTTCATTTATTAAAAAAAAACAAAAACAAACAAAAAATCAGCGTGGAAGTCTAACCAATATACATCTGTGCCACTGACTCATGTACCGTAGGCACTAATATGCAAGCGTGGAAATAAATGTAAATTTGATAGAGTAAACGTGATGTATGTATCCAGGGCATTTGATCAGCGTCTGTCAGTCAAGACTGTCCTGGCGTCTTTACTATGTGACAGGCGCTGAGCTCTGAGCTTACCAGTCATGATTACCTAACATGTCGTTGTCCCTAGCCTCTATGTCGCTATAGTGTGGATTACACCTTCTCTTCCCAGGCCGATCGGGGCATATAAATGCGTAATCCGTCATGGATGTACAGATGGTAAAAACATGGAGGGTGACATCATCATGACAACGTGTTATCCGGCTGCCGCTGAACCCTGATGTATGTTGACTTGTGACCTTTTGTGCCAGGTTCAGCCATCCCCGTTGGCATCGACGTCCAGGTAGAGAGCGTCGACAGCATCAGTGAAGTAAACATGGTATGCACGACGCTTTGGGAAGTCTTCCTCTGCACTTGAAACCAATGTACAGGGTTGTGCTTTGTAACGTTTAGGACTTCACCATGACTCTGTACTTGAGGCATTACTGGCAGGACGACCGACTGGCCTTCCCCTCCAGCAGCAACAAGAGCCGAACCTTCGACTCGCGTCTTGTGAAGAAGATCTGGGTGCCCGACGTGTTCTTTGTCCACTCCAAGCGCTCTTTCATCCATGACACAACCATGGAGAATATCATGCTGAGAGTTTTTCCTGACGGCAACATTCTCTACAGTGTCCGGTAAAAACAACAACAACAAACAAACAAAACAAAACAAAAAAAACATTGCCAAGATGACGAAATCAACAGGACTGTTACTGTTCCAACAATATTGTCTGTAGGCACATTCCTGATACAGTATCCATTTCAGTCCCTCATGTTGACAATATGGCGCCACAGACTGCCCCAGCAGATTGTGCGCAACGAATAGCAGTAATTAGTAATTGAATGGACCATAAGATCAGTAATGCGGTTGACCGTGTGTTCGGATTCACGCTGTGCCTCATAAATTACACACCGAATGGTCAAATTTAGTCACGGGATGATTTTAGCAGGGGATGGTACGACATCTTTTTTTTTTTTTTTTTGCGGCGCCATCAGGCTTTGAGATATTTTTAGCGCCCTCACTAGCCAGTCGGCCAGAAGCAAAGAAGCAGAGCATGCTGCCGCATGTCATCGGATAGTCATGTCTTTGTCTTTAAACATTGGTGAAGCAGCAAGTGGCTCATTATCCAAGGTTATTCTCGGACGTCTTGTTCCAAATAACTGTAAACAATACTATGTTTGTGATCACGAGTTGGCTCGGGTTACTACGCTGGATAGCTGCTGCCGTGGTAGAAGACCTTATAATCTGTATACATTACAAAAAAAAAAAACATACTTTCCATATGCGTCTGTTCAATGCTGTTTATCCTCTAACTTGAAAGACACTAATGGAATAATTTTTAAAATTACAGCCCATACACTATACTGTTTTATTTTCAACATAAATGTGGTGGTGATTTTTACCAAGCAAAAGAATCATGTATAAAATACCAGCAAAAGTAACTTGTCCAATCATTACCTATTCTGTACAAATTCCTACGACGGGTCAGTTCTCGGACCACCAGATCCGTTTTGTCCCACTGTTGCCATCATGAGAATTTACTTCTTGTAGTTTGTGTGTTTCTTTAACTGCGAGCTGAAAAAACATACTTTCCAGATGCGTCTGTTCAGTGCTGTTTATCTTCTAACTTGAAAGACACTATTGGAATAATTTTTAAAATCACAGCCCATACACTGTACATATTTTCAACATAAATATGGTGGTGATTTTTACCAAGCAAAAGAATCATGTACAAAATACGAGCAAAAGTAACTGGTCCAATCATTACCTATTCTGTACAAATTCCTACGACGGGTCAGTTCTCGGACCACCAGATCCGTTTTGTCCCACTGTTGCCATCATGAGAATTTACTTCTTGTAGTTTGTGTGTTTCTTTAACTGCGAGCTTTGTTTTAGGATTACCGTGACAGCGCTTTGCTCGATGGACTTCAGCAGCTTCCCTCTCGACACACAGAACTGCTCTCTGGAACTGGAGAGCTGTGAGTATACCGCAAAGTTTGGAATGGTCTTTTGGAAATGTGTAGCCTTGTTTATTGTCATTCTCGCATAGAATACGGTCGCTACTGTTGAATCAGATCAGACACTGTCCATTATATAGTTTTCATTAATGACGGCTTTAAAGAGGATTATATTTCCCTTCCATACTTTGTTGTTGATCAAACTTGCTCTAAGTGCAGCACGAGTGGGGATTTCCCTCCATTTAGAACTTTTTTTTTTTTTAAATCTTGCTAATCTTTGTTAAGGGTCAACATTGCATGAATAAAACATGTATCCTAATCTCAGAGGAGAGCCAGGTGTTCCATTTTCATGCACTATTCTCTGAGAATAGCATCCAAAAGAGGCAATATGTGAAGTTCATCCTTGTGCTTTTTTTTTTTTCCTTTCTTGAAGATGCTTACAATGAGAACGACCTTATGCTCTACTGGAAGAATGGGAATGATTCATTAAGGACTGACGAGATTGTGCTGTCTCAGTTTTTTGTCGAAGATTTCCAGCCTTCTTTTGGGCTCGCCTTTTACAGCAGTACTGGTTTGTGGAATTAACTTTCTAAATTAAGAAAAAAAAATCTATATTTTAAGCAATATATGATGTCAATACGTGGTGTCAGTTTGAACGGTCGCTTTCTGTAGCTGTCCCACCCCCATGTTTAATTTTTTTAGTGATCCTCAACCTTTTTTTCCTTTTTTTTCAGGATGGTACAATCGTCTCTACATTAATTTCATCCTCAGGAGGCACATATTCTTCTTCATGCTGCAGACATATTTCCCCACCATGCTGATGGTAATGCTGTCCTGGGTGTCTTTCTGGATAGACAGGAGGGCCGTGCCCGCCCGTGTCTCCTTGGGTACATCACATTTTTCATTATATATTCATAAACTTAAATGTTTCAGAGAGTGTTTTTTTCCAGAGGATTCTAAATACATTGATTTAAAAATAGTCAAGTGAGTTCTAGATGTGAGAACACTGTAATGTTCTATGAGTAATGGAAGTAAATCATGTAAAATGAGTCGCCTCAATGTAAAACTGTTTGGTTTTTGGATAATCAAATGTTCTCAGAAACGACGAAAGAAAAAAAATATTTGTATTGAGCACATACAATGCACTAAAGTCACCCTCGAAATATCCATTTTCACCAACGTATTTGTTTATTTTACAGCGGGAATCCTCACAGCGGTTTGCCCATGTGTGATGTCACGTCAGTTTAGGCTAGCGTTTGATTTAGACTAGTACGCTAAGCTACTAGCATTGGTGATGTGAAGCGGATTGGTTTGTGTTGAATAATATATAATGACCGAATAGTTGTTTATGTAACGGGGATTCATTATTGGGCACACGCTCGAAACGCGGTGTAAACGCTCAATGCTGCTCTCCGTTTTAAGTGCTTGGCCGCCATCTTGTGGCGTCTATGCACAATTACAACCCCCTTTCTATACTGCACCATATGAAATCGCTGGAGTTCTCTGTATAATACAATGCATGCACTAATCTCCAAGTAATGGCAATAAAAGAATTCTTATTTAAAAAACGGCAAAAAAATAGAATGCATGTTTTTTAGAATGTACGTGGAAAAAAAACACAAACACGCGCACAGAGGTTCCAAGGTGTTATATTTTGAAATAACTTTTGTGCCGTGCTCCCCGCACGCAGGCATCACCACCGTGTTGACCATGTCCACCATCATCACCGGCGTGTCCTCCTCAATGCCTCAGGTGTCTTACGTGAAAGCGGTGGACATCTATCTATGGGCCAGCTTCCTTTTTGTCTTTCTCTCCGTCATCGAGTACGCAGCCGTCAACTATTTCACCACAGTGGAGGAGATGAAGAAGCTCAAGAGGGCACAGGTCGCCAACGCTCCCACTTTGCTGACTAGATTTTTTTTTTTCCTCCATAAATCTCGTGCGACTTGTTTGACCCACACAAAATCATTTTTGCACCATCTGGATCGACTGCTTGATCTCGAAACGTAACCCCGCCTCTCTTGCCTTTGTCGTTACAGATCCCGGCGTCCTACAACGCCACACAGGCCATGGCTTTCGATGGCTGTTTCCATGACAACGACATTGACCTGACCTCTTTCCCCGAGGTTTCCAGCACGCCGAACACAGAGAGGAACACACAGTCACGAAACTCCACTGTGTCGGCCCCCGCAGAGGGTACCAGGCTGCGCCGCAGGAACCCATTAAAACACAACCTCCGTTTCATAATGAGCAACAGCTACATGATTGACTCCTACTCCAGGGTTTTATTCCCTCTGGCCTACCTGCTCTTCAATGTCATTTACTGGAGTATGTATGCATAACACACTCTCATTGCAGGCGTGTGCGTGTGCGCGCGTGTGTGTGTGTGTGTGTGTGTGTGTGTGTGTGTGTGTGTGCGCGCGCGCGTGCGTGTGAAAGCAACACAGTCATAGGATTTAAACTTTTGTCTGTTTTATTGTTGTACAAAGCTTTTGAATCAGACGATTATTTCAGTCTTGGGATTGTATTGCGTTGCTTCATTGCTGCAGAGTAAAATGCATATTCATTGTAAAATATCTCTCAAATGACAAGTAAATGTATGCAGTGTTGTTAATGTGTCTTTTCTTGTTTTGTATAAACGGAGTCCTCGGTTTACGAGATTAGGAGTGACGTGTAATTTGCAGAGGTGGCAAAAGTACTCGCTCGCTTTTACTTGAGTAGAGGTTATGTCCACAAATACTTGAGTCAAAAAATACTCTGGTGAAAGTAGTAGTAGTAGTAGAAGTAGTAGTAGTAGTACTCATCAATTCAACTCCTTTATTTTTTATGTAAAAGAAAAAAAAAGTACGGACCGAAATGTGCTAATATACAAGCATAAAAAAAGATGTTTTACTCATAACCATCTTGATAACGTTCCACAAAACTTCTCATTTTATGAAAATTATTTCTTTTATTTTCTTGCATTGTGACTGAAAACCCACTTTACCACATGTTTTTGTTCAGGGGCACTCAGCTGAGAGCGTTGACTGTTTCTCAAACTTAATAAGTGGTGAGAAAGTAGGTCAAGCACAGTTTTGCAGTTAAAAAAAACACATTTAGAAAAGGTGAAGCTATGCTAGGCTAAATGGCTCATTGCAGACGGAAGCAAAAGTGTTGTTTGCTGGTGACAGTCACGACAAGCAGGTGCACACAACGGTAACTTAGACGATTTACGCTTGACTTCTTCTAACGACTCTTGTTTTATCTCTGTTTTGTTGCCCTGGAAATAAGCATGTGTCACATCTTCCATCGGAAGTATCCTGGTCTGGCTACTCCGCAATGGCACGCCCTCCCTCTAACTCAACACAATAGAAACACGTTCCTTTAAAGAAACATGTTGAGTGATTTTTTTTCCCCACCCGCTCTTATCTAAACGGAAAGTCAATTCAGTTTAATCTTCCTAGGCTGTGGAATAAGTGAGTTCGCATGTTTTGCGAGGTCAACCTTTTCATGTCGATGACTGAGGGGGCGTGTCGCAGAAGCCGCCGGCGTGACAGACTTGACGTGAACCTGCTAACAAGAATAATGACCATGGACGTCATCAATCTAGTGACTTGGATTTTTCTTTCACAGCTTTGAATATAACCCGGAGGGAGCTTTGTAAATCTTTGTAAAATGTGCATGGCATCATGAAATTTTCCACAGGATCTTCTTGGACAAACGCAGATTTAACCGTCATCAGGTAACATGAGTTTTCTTTCTTTGAAGGCGCACACTTAATTCCCACCATGAGTTTGTTTTCCTAATCTTTGTCGTGCTTTAATTTCGGGTATCCAGATTAACATTTCTTCGCCAATTTTAGAAAGTTCAGGTCTTATTTTAGATAGACCGGTCATGGGTGGCCGATTGTCAGAATAAAGCGCTGGCACCAAGTTGATGTTTGTTATATGTAATTCATTCTGTGCCATCTTTTATAGTTAGTGTCGGTATATGTCGATATGATGGCAATTGGGCATTATTTTGGTAAATTTGGGTCACTGAAAGGAAACACATTTCACATTTTACTCTTGACTCGAACAGGTGAAGGAAGCCCCAGGTGTATTAAATTATGCTACAATATCTTCAACGTGCGAATCTGGTGATTTATTTCTCCGTCCAAAGTTTTATTGACTAAAACAAGAGGATGATCGTGACGAAAATAAATAACACAGACGAATGACATATTCCACAAAGGGTTACAACCATTAGAACCACCCCTCAGGTGTGATTAAATTGTCTTCGTTACTCACCCTATTCTCTGTTGTTGTACAGCACATTGTGATTGTCAGGTGGCGACCCATGTCCAAATTTGGTCAATTTCCTTTTTTTTTCCAAACCATTGGTCGGTCACTCCCCACATGGGTCCACGAGGATTCCTTTTATATACTGTTGTCAGTTAATGCGAATGAGGATGCAAATGTCTTGGATGTTTTTTGTACATTGATCTATTTGTGATGTTCCAGAGTGAACAAGCCAAGTTCACAGATACCAAAGGTCCTGTTGTCAGTTAATGCGAATGAGGATGCATGTCATGTATGTTTTTTGTACATTGATCTATTTGTGATGTTACAGAGTGAACAAGCCAAGTTCACAGATACCAAAGGTCATCCACCTGCTCCTACTATTCACAGGTAAAGTCACAACAGAAAATCATTCAAAAGAAAAAAAAAATAGTTAAATGAGCATCAAGTTTAGTCAAGTCAAAATAATACAAATGTTTTTTTAGAGCCACACTGATAAATAAATGCTTCTGGTGATTGATGGCAAATGCTGCATTGTGGTCTATTTTTAAGTCCCGAATGGATGCCATAAATCACTTGTCATGTTGTACACACATTCAAGCATTCCATTCTATTTCTTTAAGAAACCCGTTGTTCCAGTCAGAATACTGTCTGCGTGCATTGTGCAATGACAACCCAAAAGTCCACCACGCTGCAGATTCTTTGCAAACACGGAGAGTCTGACGAAGAGAGGGAAGAAATGACCTCACACATTTTTGATCAATCCAAAGTGCTCTTTTGATTTTAGGAATATAATAAATTCGAAACAATATAAGTCATCCCATATATGGGCGGGTCATTTTCTTCTTATATTGTGAATGTAGATTGGAGATGTGTCTCATCTTGACAGCTGTTTTGATGTTGACGTCAATGTTTTATCCAGCCAAAGTCCATTTGGACAATGACAATTGAAATGCAGACAATCCAAGTAACCTAACTCTAAAATTGCAGGTACTCAGCATCTCCCCGCACACCCCCCCCAAAAAAAAAACAAAAACAAAAAACAAGAATGTGTTTGTGTGCAACATCCGAAAGTGAAGCCTCAATTTCAGTGACATCGTTGAGTCATTCCCAACTGTTTCCTCATCATGCAGGTCTCGCTTCCTGGACTGAACCCTCCACGACGCCGCCTCATGTGACTTCAGGTAAGCTTGCACACTCACGTTCGACGTCAGTGGTATAACCTGTACTCAGGTGTTGATAGATGATGCCGGCAGGTGCTGCGTATGACGTGTTTTGTGTGTATGGCTTCTGATAGTTCCAAATAGCGCCTTACAAAATGCTACTACGACCTTCCTGTTTCAAAGTGCTCATGAGAAAGGAAAGATTTTACTTTAGCCAGCAGCCTAAGATGAAAGAAGCGGTATTTAACAAAGGTACCAATTTTGCCAATTTAAAAATCACTGTCCAATTTAAAACTCAATAGAATAAGACACAAATTGTACTCAGGTAAGTTAATGTGACTGAGGTAAAAGTATGTCGTCCTCGAAATGAGAGTCATTATTTCAGGAAGTATTCAGGAGGAGAAAAAAAACCCTACTCACACTGAGTAACTGATAAGCAATGTCTGATTAATTTATTTTAGTGAATACCACATGAATCAGCAGCAGATAAATATATAAAAATAAGAAAATGCAAATTGTAGTCGATTGAAAGGCTGGAAGCAGAAAACCTTTGATAGTTATAAATGGCTGCTCCGTTTTCATTTCATTGTCTTCTCTCACTGCAGAACACTACTTAGTAGATATCGCTATCAAAGTGACGGGCCCTGCGAAGAATGAATCAGAAATTGCATCCTGGGTATGTTTGAAATGATGTATTGTGACATAAACAACAAAGCCCCCCCCCCCCCAAAAAAAAAAAACCCACAAATGTGAACATGAACTGTTCTGTTCCACTTCTCAGCTCCAGGATGTGTTCCAAAACAATCTGGGAAGCTGTGTTTTTTCCCACACTGAAACCACAGCTTTACCACCTCCGTTTCAAACTACATCTGCAAACTCTTCAGCGGGGACGACGACGACGACGATAAACGAGACTCATGGCACCAACACAACCGCAGCCACTTTTAATAACACGTTACAAAGCAACACCACCGCCGCGGCTACGACCGCGTTACCAAACACTACCGCAGCCACAACCATTTTGCAAAATGATACAACAGTAGCCACAACTACACTACAAAACAATCCGACTGCAGCGACAACCCCATTGCCAAACAGCGACACGACTACAGCGACGAGCACCGTGCAAATCTTTGGCACAGCTGCAGCTACAACGTTAGCAAAGTCTGACTCAACTGGAGCTATTGCCACTGTAGCAACTACCAGTGATGCTGGTAGCAACACAACAAGGATTATCAGAACCAAGAGGGCAGAAAATAAGCCCAACTCAAACAATGCACATTTCATTCAAAAAAACATGCTGAGGTATGTCATAATTTCTTTTTTATTATTATTTTTTTTTTAGTTCACCGGCATTTGCCTTTCACCGTTTTGGTGATCATATTTCTATTATTCTTTTCCAGGAACACGGATGGCTTAATTCAGGTTTGTAGTCTCGCTCTCACAAGTTATTTGGCCCGATCGTGTTAATTTGCATTCATGTCTTATCACAGGGAGTTGACGTTTCCTGTGCAAAGAAGACGGAAATAAGGTATCGGGTTGATTGAACTGCATGTAACATTCATCATTTTTTGAAGAAAAAAAAAAGTTCTGTGTAATGTCCCCCCCCCCCCCAAAAAAAAATATACACCAGAGTGAAAGTCTAATTCCAGTGCAAAATAAGAGCGGTATTTAAAATCCTTACCCTTCTACTGATAAAAGTCGTGCCACTCCAAATGAAGTGTCCACAGTGAGTATAAAAGTACAGAACGTCTTGTTCTTGATCAGAAAGACCAACTGCTCGGCGGTTCTGGTGCTGAGGCAGAAGGTGTCGCCGTGTTGCATCCTGCAAACAATCTGTGCCGCCAATCCAACTTCCTCTGACATCCGCGCAGTGCCCAAAAGAACCAATCTCTTGAGTGAGTGCTACAAAATGTTTTGTTGTTGTTGTTTTTTGTTAACCTAACTTTTCTATGCTCCCATTAATAGGTCCCCTAAACGATACCTGCAACAGCGATCACCTGGATGAAAAAAGCTGCGTTTATACACCAAATGCAAACAATTCAAAATGGTAAAGCGGTTCATTTTAAGCGCTGTGGATTTTCCCTTTCATTCTCCTCATCATTTATAAGAACACTTTTGGGTCGGAGACATGAACTATGAATGAATGGCAATTTCATTTGACAGTGAAGACTCGGCGTTCGCCGCACCTCCGTGTGCTACAGGTGAGCGCCGACATATTCCTGATTATAATTTCAAAGTAAAAATGTGGTAGTGCAGCTAAAAGGAGCAGTGTCTTCCAACTGCGTCTACCACAGCGACCCCAAATGTGACGACCGCACAACCAAACACGGCCTCCAGTAATACGACATCATTCCCTCACGTCTCCACCGTCTCACCTAATAATGACACGGAGAGCCAAGCCAACGCTCTCCTCGAGCTGTCCGCCAATGTGTCCAGACTGAACTCCAGCCAGGTGGATCAGCTGGTGTCTCAGTTGGAGGACCTGTTGTCGGGCCCCAATATCAGCCTGGCTCTGGCGAACACCACCGTCCACATCGTCAGCAATCTGTTGGACGCCCCTGCAGAGACACTGGCCAGCTCCTACAGCAGGTTACGTTCGGATTTTGTGGCATGATTTATTTATTTGTGTCACTGTTGGATGTCAGTTATCTCATTTTTGTACAGTAGCTTGTTTGGGTAGTTGCATTTTGTGTCCAGCAGGGGGCTTTTCACCGTGGGTACTGTTTGGGGGCAGAAAAAAGGAGTCTGTTGTGACGTCATGTTCTGCCAATATTTTGCTTCGCCGAATAATGAATTAAACGTTCTCCTTGTTTCTGAAACAGAATTATAAGCATGGTTGATACGGTGGGCCTCAAATTGGTCCTTGAAGCAGAAACGGAAACTCTCTTGTCGCCAGCTTTGGCTCTGTCCGTCAAAGCGGTGGATGGAAGGAATTTCCAACAAGTGCTTTTTTCCATCTCCGACCCCAGCAACGCACAGGTATGGCACAGCAGCTTTAGGAAGAGCTAAGGGGCATGTGATAAGACCGCCGAAGTTCCAATACGTGACGGTAAAGAGCGTCTTAAAATAAATGTTGTTGAGCCAATGAAATAAAAAAAAAAAACTCTCTCCGCAAAAATGTGAGCGCAACTAAAACTACAGACTCGGTATTTGATTTTTTACACGGAATACAGTCTTATTCTTTCTCAAGTAAATATTTAGAGGACTAGATTTTACTTTTTTCCTATTAGTTCAAATCACTCGCCCTAATCAACAGTGATTGTAGCGCAATTTGCAGTCACAGGACTTGAATAGGCCGACACCTCTGACTTGACATTTTAGACCAGAAAACAAATGCTGTGCCGATCAATCCTATTTACGAAAAGGAAAATTTCAATGTTAAGTCCTCATATGTGTTTTTTCGGAAAGTAATTCCGATTGCACGATTGTCTGTGTCTTATGTGTTGTCTTGTGTTATTTTGACTTCAAGATGGCGCCGCGAGAGGGGCTTCCTTTACAGCAGCTCCTATATTTTGTTCTTCTACTTCTTCCTTTCATAACTTTGCTTCTGTGAATTGGCAATTTCTCCATTGTGAGACTAATAAAGGATTTCTTATCTTATCTTGAAGGTCCGAGTCGATCCCAAGTTTCCAAGGATTGTGAGGAACAACTCCTCCATCCCTCAGGGCTCCATCACGCTGCCCGCCTCCCTCACCCAAAACCTCACCTCGGAGGAGCAGCAGATGGCATCCAGAGTCCACTTCAACTTTTATCAGAAAAGCTCAGTATTTCAGGTCTCACGCACTCAACAAGTACCATACACTGGTGCATCGCAATGCATTGGAATTTAACGGAAAGTGCTGTGTGTCCTCTGTCCACGTAGGACGCATCTTTAGGAAAACGTCGACTCAACAGCGGGATTCTGGGAGCGAGTTTGGCCAACTTGACAGTCGCGGGACTCCGGGAGCAAGTTGTGATTAGCCTGAGGAACGTGGAGCCCATTCCCGTCAGTGTTTATCTTTTAAAGACATTTTTTTCGTCCTGTACATTGACTGGCTCGAGGCGGCACTAATGAAAACCACGCAAAGCTGCCCCAAAATGAAAACCATACATCTGCAAATCCGTGTTGAACCCAAAAACAAGATGTCTTTCTTTACCCTCATAACAACTTCTGTTTTTGCCTTCGCTAAACTGCAGGCTAATTACGTGGCGACATGCGTCTTCTGGGACTTTGCGTTAAATGGTGAGAGTTTTCCTTCAAAACATCCATTCGGACGAATGCGGCGAAAACGCATGAATGCACGGTCACTTTTCTTCCGCTGGCAGAGCGATCGGGCGGCTGGAATACAAACGGCTGTTATGTCCACAACAGCACAGACGAGGTGACAGTTTGTGGCTGCGACCATCTCACGAGTTTCTCGATCCTGCTGGTAAGCTTGCGTTTTGACTTTGAGCGCATTTGACTGCAGCAAGCCGATGATAAGATTGCTAGTGAAGATCAGCCACTTCCTTCGGTACGCCGGCGTCAACGAGAAGAAACTTGTTTCGCTTTTGATTGAGTCTATCAAGTTATTAAGTCGTCAAAGTTTGTTTTAAACCAGTCATGAACTCGAGTCGAAAGCGTTTTTTTTTCTCTTTTTAATGATCGTGGTCCAAATAATTTTCGTTGCGAGATCCCACTCTTTTCAAATACGTCGCTTGTGTATAACTTTGTCTCCTCATCCAGGACCTCGCCAGGGAGCCTCTAACCAGTCGAGCGAACGCCACCATTTTGACCTTCATCACATATATCGGCTGTGGGATCTCCGCCATTTTCCTGGCATTGACGCTCCTCACATACTTGGCCTTTGGGTGAGTCGTGAGTGCCGCAATGTACCGGCGGTGGGCAAGTCAGGGGACCTGCCGTTAAAACCTCAACCCTGATATTTGTTCTATGAAATTCTAAAAAAAATGGATTCTCAACAGCACAGCTTGCAGAAGTGTCTGTGGTGGTCCGATTTTTTTTTTAGGAGCATTTCTCAGACCAGTCGGATGACTGATTCGCCTCAGCGGGCCGCGAGCCATCTCAAAATAGCATTTGAATTTTTCCATCCTCCGATTCGTTGGCCAGGGCAAGCCGAGCGCAC